CTGGAACTCACTTGGTAGCCCAGGCTGGCCTCAAACTCACAGAGATCCGCCTGGCTCTGCCTCCCGAGTGCTGGGATTAAAGGCGTGCGCCACCAGATTTTTTTCTTTTATGGAATGGCACTGCAGGGTGAGGAGTGGAAATGGAGGGATGAGGAGGTGAACAGAATTGGGGTTGAATGATGTGAAACTCAAAAATAATCAATAAAGAAGTTAAAAATTAAAAAAGTCATATTTCCTACATCTATGATCATCAGCAGATAAGCAAAAACATTAATAAAGAACATGTTTGTAATACTGTTCTGGTTAACTTTTCAGTGATCTCATCTCTCAGTCCGCATCAGTGTTGACAGAAACTGGAACATATTGTTTATTGCAATATCAGTCTCAAACTGTGATTCCATGAATTTCATGTGCAGACACCAGCTGCCATTCTTCCAATAACCTTAAACCAAACTCAATTTCTTCTTTGTCTGAGATTTGTACGTTTTCAAATAAGGAAACAATACTCATACCCATACATCTCATAGGAATGTCACAAGGGAAATATCACTTAGAATCCAAAGAAGAATCACAAAACAATACTGTAAGATTTCAAGGATCTACTCATATGCAAAATTCTATCCTGTGTCTGTATTGATTAATTGATCAAGAACTGTAACTGGGCAAATTAGGGTGGTCTGCAGATTGAAGTATCCAATACTATTATTGGGTTATAACCACCACTTTTCTTTGATGTTAAAAAGAAATCTATTTGGGCTGTCATACTTAGGACTCACATTATTGACATGTAGGGTTTTTTGGTGTTGTTGTTCCCCATAAGCAGATGTGATCAGATTTCTGAGTATTTGTGGTGACATTCACAGGCATTGCCAGGCCATGAGGTTCTTAGTTTACCCAGAATTGTAACCATCTTTTGTGTTGTCAACTATACTTTCCTTTACTATTTTTCATTTTAATTATTTCATTTAATTATTTTTGTTAATAATTTTTAATTAAATAAAAGCAGCAGGTTTCTTTTAAGCTTTTTTTTCTATTTAGTGTTTTGATTGAACCAATCCCACTTTTTCCCATCTGTCCACCCATGATCCAGGCACTTTTCTTCTATGCTGTTATCACTGTATTTTCTCATTTTCACTCTTCTCTCATAGAGTCTCTTTTTAATCCTCTTAAAGGCTTGATACTAACTTTTGTGGTATGGACACATAGTTACTCTCCATAATCATGTATTTTAGTAATGATAAGCTAAGAAACAACACTGAGACACAATGAACACTGTTGATCCTTCTTGGCCTATATTACCTCACTTACTAGAATACTATCTTTTTATTTTCTGATGTAGTCACATTCTAGGGAGTTTCCAGTCCCAACACATTGATAACAGGAAACTGCTACTATTTGGCACTTCTTAAGGTTTCAGCTCATCTCTGTACTTTCTTTTAACTTCTTCAGTTTTCAAGATTCACTGGTAATTTTTCCCCAGTTCTTGATTTCCCCAGTCTTTGCATAGCAAATCAGTAAGTGGAGCATTTTCTCCCTTCCTGTGGCTTCTTGGTTCAGCCTGGTACTGATTCACAGCTGCTTCTGTCTACTTTTTCAAGGGGATCTCACCCTACTTAAGAGGGCTACACACACATTCTCCTGCAGTTAGAGTATTGCAACCTGAGAGTCTCCTCCCACTACACTGATGGGATGTTTAATCGACTGCCATCTTACCTACTGTTTACACTCAAGACTCTTGACTGGTGCCTGATTATTCTAGACATAGTTTCAATAGAGACAGTGATCATTTCCCCATTAGATATCATTCTTCATATACTGAATATCTCCTTGCCATTTCTGCTGATTTATTTAGCTTATTATTATTCTGTTGAGTATTTTTGGGATTTCATTGCATTGAATGTCCCAATGCTCTTACAGTCCTAACCTGTGTCTGCATGTGTGTGTTTGTTTGTGTGTGTCTATTTGTTGTGACTTTTCATAAGAGCTAGCTCTTACCTTAATGAGATAAAAGTTGTCATTTAACCTATAATTTGAATATATTCTAAGCTCTTAACAAATTTTCTATGCATAACTGTAGATATATTCTGGATGATATTATAAGTTTTTCATTAATCATCTTTTAATTTTAGATAAGATATACTGTGAGAATTGATGTTTTTGAGTTTGGTTATAGATACTGAAATTGTCTTCTTTTATACTAAGTCTAGAAAATATCAGTATATTTTTATTGTCTTATATTTTGCTTGATATTATTGGCTCTCACTTTCCATTGCATCTCACAGGCCAAATACCTTTACCCATAATGCTGCCTATTCAATGATTAAGAAGGCATATCAATGATACATATATGTATGCTAAGGCCTTTTGACACCTTACAGTAGTGTGTTTAAGTAATATTTTTTTCTGGCATAAACTTTGATAAATTCTTGTTTTGTAGTCTAGGCTGAGATGTTACTCCTAAGATCTAAGGAACATTCTGATTTAGTTTCTCTGTATGTCTTTGGATTACTAATACTTTTCATTCATTTTGACCAGAGAAACGGCTTTGGTCATTGTCTAAAGAGAATCATGCCAAGTCATAGAACAGACTTCTGGAAACTGGCCATCAAAATCATTTTCTTGTCACAAACTACAGCTGGAATTCTGGGAAATTTCTGTCTTCTTTACTACTATCTAGTTCACTATGGAGAGAGCAAATTAAAGCCCACAGATTTGATTCGCATGCACCTAAATGCCGCCAATGCTTTGATCATTCTCTCTGCTGGAGTGCCAAATACAATGGCAGCTTTTGGGTTGAAGCAATTTTTAAATGATCTTGGGTGCAAATTAATTTTGTACATTCAAAGAGTTGGCAGGACTGTGTCCATTGGCACCACCTGCCTCTTGAGTGTTTTCCAAGCCATCACCATCAGTCACAAGGAATGCTGCTGTAAGGATCAAAAAACCAAAGCTTCAAAGTACATTGGCCACTCCATTGCCCTCCTCTGGGTTTTGTACATGTTGATAAATATCATTTTCCCTGTGTACCCACTTATTGAAAGGAATAGCAAAAATCTGACAAGAAAACGAGATTTTGGATACTGTTCCACTGTAGAGAGTAATGAAATCAATGACTCACTCTATTCAGCACTGGTGGTATGCCCTGAAATCTTCTTTTCTTTGCTCATGGCCTGGTCTAGTGGCTACATGATTGTCATTCTGTACAGACACAAGCAGAGGGTTCAACATATTTGTAGCAGTCGTGTTTCTAGCAGAATCTGTTTAGAATCCAAAGCCACCCAGAGCATCCTGGCCCTGGTGTCTACCTTTCTGGCTTTTTATACTCTCTCCTCCATCTTACAAGGCTGTGTCGCTCTTTTGTATAATCACAATTGGTGGCTGCTCAACATCAATAGCCTCACTTCTCTGGGTTTTCCCTGTTTTGCACCATTTGTTCTTATAAATTTTTACTCTGTGGTTCCTAGACTCAGTTTGGCCTGGATAAGCAATAAAATCTCTAATTCTTCATGCAAATGATATTTTTTGTGGTATCCAGGTGTTTACCATCTCCATCACAATGTCAGTACAGAAAGTAAAGGAGTTAGTGTCTTGTCTTTTAACAATTAACCAAAATTATAAATTGGGAGCTTTGTCACCTGGTTTAATTCACAGCCTACATGAGCTTATCCCAATGTGAGAGGACTATCTTACTTTTCAACTTACCCCTGCTAGGCTTCCCTTTGTCTTGCTAATGTACAAAGGAGCTAGCAAAATCCTCACAATAAATGTGCCTTCTTCCCACTTTCATTCTCTAGGGCATCCTGAGAGCTTGGTTATTTCACAGACAGCTTATGGGTCTTACAGTCTAATGGTAAAGAATGAAATAATGGCTGACTATGAAGTTGTGCTTCAGGAGTCCCTGGTCCATTCACAAAAGCTCTGGCCTGCACCGGTAGGAGAATAGTTCTTTAGCCCTAACTTCCCAAATACCCTGCTTTTAGCTGCACTAGAAGCAATCAGGTTGGTTTGCAAATCTTATAGCAATAGTCCCCAACAAAGTCTCAGAAAAGAGCATCTTCCCTTACCACTTAGTGAAAAAATATGATCAATGGAAATTAATGATGGTTTTGATGTTATCTTGAATTTTATATGTCAACATGTTTTAGAATTTTTTCATCTATGTATACCAGGGAGATTAGTCTGAAAATTTTCTTTATTGCTATCTAGTTTGGAATCACTAAAATGCTGGATTAATCAATGGTTTGGAAGCCAATTAATAGTGAAATTATAGAAATCAGTTTGGAAGTTCCTAAAAAACTAAAAAAGACCTACTAGTTGACACAGCTAATCTACTTCTGGGCCTATACCCTCTGAACTCCATATACTTCCATAGAAATATATGCAAATCCATTTTTATTGATGCTCTATTTATTATATTGAGGAAATTCAGCTCAGCTATATATCCATAAACAGATAAATCCATAATCATATGTGTTTTCATATATAAAATAGATTATTATTCAACTACAGTGATAGAAGAAATCACAAAAAGTATACGAAGTTTGATGGATTTTAATGAATAGTACTAAATCAGGTAACACCAACTGAAAAAGAAATTCACATCATCTACTTCATATGCAGATCTTATCCCATATGGTTCACATGTTTATATGTAAGTAGGTAAGTTTAACTTTATTATGACACTTAGAAAGGAGACCCAAAAAGGTAATGTCAGGCAAAGTGGCAGTAAGGTAGTTATGTGAGAATATATCAAGTTAGTTATTCTTCTGTCTTCAACTCTACCAATTTCTTATTCTGCAGTAGATAAAGGCATAAAAATATACTTGTGAGTGACAGTGTAATACCCTAAGCAAAGCTCTATGGCTACAGTATAGCTTTTCTAACTGTACAAAACTAAATTGAAATATAAATAACTTGGGCCTGGGCAAGTGTTCATTTGAGTAGCTATCTCATTGTAGCTCTTTAATGCTTTTATTCATGAGATCATTATAATATAATGATTTTAGTTGAAAATAAAATGGTATCACAACTTATCCAAAAATATAGAAATGGCTTAGCTATGGCCACCAGTAAATGCCAGACTAAAAGTCAGAAATCACATGAATGACTTATTAGATGCCACAAAATATTCTCTTTTTTCTTTTTTTTTAAAATAGTTTATTTTCTTACACAACATATCCTGATTACAGCTTCTCCTTACTCTACCATCTTCCCTCCCCATCTGATCCACTTCCTTTCTGTCATTAGAAAAGAACAGTCTTCTGATATATTAAAAAAATGACAAGATAAAATATAATGAGATAAAATATATCACATCGAGGTTGGATAAAACAAACACACTCATTTATATACTCAGGAGGCCCATAAATATGGTAAACTGAAAGCTATAATTTACATGCAGGGGACTAGATGGAGATGTGTGCAGTCCCCATGCTTGTGCCTTCAGTGTCAGTGAGTCCATCGAGTTTCGCTCAGTTGGTTCAGAGGGGCTTGGTCTCCTGATGTCATCCATCTCCTGTGGCCCTTACACTCTTCCTCCCTTTTCTCTCATGGTGTTGTCTGAGCTCTGAGGGAATGGTTTTGATGGAAACATCCCATTCGCCATCTCTGATGTCAGAAATACTTTTAACAAAACCCAACATTCCTTTCCCATAAATGCCATGAAGTGTCAAGAGATACACCAATAACACTGTGGTGATATGTTGCATATCAAACAAAATTTGCCTGAGCATCAGAAGACAGAGGCAGCCTGACTAAGACTCTAGGTTCCAAGAGTATGCATTAGTGTCATAGAGGAGTACAGCATTTGGAGTTGAATACAGAGGACCTAATGTCTATTCTAAAATATTTTGATTGGGAGGAGGCATAGTAAAAGAGGATAGAAAACACAGGTGATTGACAATAGACTGGAGGCTGATAAGGTCACTGCAAATGAGCATAAACTAATGCAAACACAGAACCACTCTAAGAGTTTTCAGGGTAGAAAGGGATGTCATGATACTAATGGGGTATGACGAGCTGCAGTGAATTTCTGAAATTCACAGTGGTAGAAAGATGGTGGGTTTCGACAATGCTTTCACAATGACCCTGTAAAGCCTCTGAACCCTTTTCTGATCTTAGATATTGGTCTCTAGTACAAAGCATTCACCATGCCTAATCACATTTACTCTGAATCCATTCTTATCCATGCCCAATTTTAAAACAGTAATAGCTATCAACATGTCTAGATGACTCTAAATTTAAATTTAAAACTTTATGTCATAATGTCTGAACCTATCCTTGGAAATGATCATAAACAATGAGACTCATTATTTTGTGTAATTAATATGCTATAATAAAGAAGATCTACCATTACAGGGGTGCCAGCCTATCCTCAATTTGACCCTTGATACCCAGCTGTCTTTCAAATTCATAATCTCTTTTACTTTAAATATGTATGTAATATTAAGCATATATAATGATATATTTTGAATTATAAAAAGTATATAATAAGATATATTACATATGTTAATTTTTATAATAATTGCCACTGTATGCATATTTATACTCTTTTATATTCATTTAGTGTTGGTCAAATGTACATAATTTTAGAACTGACTATATAGTATTGTATAACCAATCCCTAGGGAAGACAAAGTCTCCTTTTATGTGCATTCATTAATTACTTGTAGTTTTCCATCCAGATATAGAGAATTGTCAGATTCCCCATTCACACTGGCATCTCAGATAGTGCTGCCACTGTTCAGGCCTTCTTTAGAAAATCATTTTCTTGAAAATCCATGAATAAACTTCAGGCTAGCTTAAAAGGAGAGAATCCATGCCTATCTGGGACTGTAAACTTTGCTCAATAGTCTAATGGCTGGTGAGAGCATCAACCTAGAAGAGAACTTACTACTTCCACCTTCCTAAATCAATATAATTTAAAATTGTACTTCTTCTGATACCCAGAGGTAAGAGTAGGTCTCAGCCCTTATCAGCAAAGAAGCTCCCATCGGTAGTAAATAGAGACCATTACAGAAGTCCGCAACTGATCAACGTGAAGAGAACAACTGACAATAAGGTGCTGAGCCCCCAATTTCGTGAATCTACAACACATGTACTACGACTAAGTATCAATGCACAACTTACAAGGAGCAGAAATGTAGAATTCAAGGGCTAGTATATATGCTGAGAAATGATAGCATCTCTATGTAACATGGAAGCAAAATAGATAGGCCCTTTCTACCTACCTTCACATTTCCTTTATTTACTTGCACATTTCAATCTATATATGACAATCATAGGACAGCTTGTACATGAGAGTAAACATATACTGTTTTTCCAAGCTAAATCCACTTTGCTTTAGATTTGTTCTTTAATATTTTTTCCACAACTCAATAAAAATCACACACACACACACACACACACACACACACACACACACACACACTGTATCATTGATTAAGATACATGCTCTTAAAGCTCTTCATTGCTATGATGCATACAGTTCCAATGCTGATATTTCTTTATTGGTTATGATCATGTTGAAAAAAATGGTAATTGTTTACATCCATCTTTAGGTATTATAGGAATGATAAGATAACACAACAAAATAATAGAAAGAGGGCAGGCAATGTAAATGTTGGAAGTCTCTGAATTGTAATGTGTTGTTTGATATTAGCAAGTGCAACAGAGCACAGAAACTGAGGTATAGTGCCTGATGAGCAGAAAGGGACGAAAGGCTGGAAAACAAGGCGCTGATTGTGCAATGTCAATGACCAGCCACCTAGTGATTCCATTTCCAAAAGTTAAACACATGATTAAGATGTCAGATATTGTATGAAAGAGTACAAAACTGTTCACCAGGACAAGGATGATTTGGGTGGCTCTGATGTCAGTAGAAGACTTAGTACACAGAACTCTATACATGTGTTGGAACCTCTGATTGTGCTTCTGTAAGATAAGCACTATGTAACCACTGGCCCACATCATGATTCCCAAACATGTGACATTAGAAGAGCCCAAAAAGGTTATATATAAGGTGTAGATTAGATTTTCAGGTTTGGGCACAGCACAGCATAGGAAATCTCTAAACTCAGTGCTTTTCTTTCTATCCCTAATGTCTGTCAACATCAGAGGAATTTATCCATAATGATCAGTACCAGGGACCAGCATAGCATGACAGAAAGTCCAATGATCTTGTGGGATCTGGCTTCAAAATGTTTCTACTCAACATTCCTTGTAGTGATCATGCTAGACTGGAAAAAACTTAAGAGGGATGTGGAGCACAGGGACACTCATATGGCCATTCTGTGGAAATAAAAACAAGTTAACATACAATGTTATATAGAATATACATCCACAAACCACAGCATTGTTTGAGGGATTACTAATTTGGTCGATATCCCTGACTGTGACAACAGAGAATTCATCCATGATAATACAGCAAAGCAAGGCTAACTGGGTGGTGGTGGCACATGCCTTTAATCCCAGTACTCGAGAGGCAGAGCTAGGTGGATTTCTGTAAGTTTGAGGCC